GATGCCAAACTAGACTACTATACCCAGTAATACTTTTAGTCATAATAGATGGAAAAGTAAAAGATTCAGGGATAAAACTAGATTTAAGCATTACCAATCTACAAATCCAGCCCTACATAAGGTGCTAGAAGATGAACTTCAACATAAGAAGTTAACACCCAAGAATACACAATAAATAATTCCAGACCAACAAATTAAGAGGGAAAACACACACACACACACACACACACACACACACACACACACACACACACCACAACTGTCAAATAACAGGAATAAACAAACATCTCAATATTATTCAAAATCAGTGGTCTCAGTCCCCCAATAATGACAAGAGTAACAAAATGAATGAAAAAACAGAATCCTTACTGCATCTACGAAACACACACTAACATCAAGGATAGCACCTCAGGGTAAGAGGATGGAAAAAGGTTATACAAGATGCAACCTGGTGTTGTCATTTTAATATCTGACAAAACAGACTTCAAACCAAAATTAATCAGAAGGGACGGGGAATGACACTATATTTGTCAAAGGAAAAATCCACCAAGAGGACATTGTAATTTGTAACGGGTGCCTCAAACATAAGGGCACCCAAGTTCATAAAAGAAATACTACTACATCTTAAATCACACATTGACCCTCACAGACTAATAGTAGGAGACTTTAGTACCTTACCCTTGACAATAGACAACAACAACAAAAAACAAACAAACAAAAAAAACCCATGCATGCTGGAGCTAACTGATGTCATAAACCAAATGGACCCAATGTATTTACAGAAGACTATTACAGAAGAATATACATTCTTCTCAGGAGCTCAAGGAACTCTTTCTACTATCAACCACAGACTCTGACACAAGTCTTAACAGATATAAAAAAAATTTTAAATAGCACCCTAAATCCTATCTTACCATCATGAATTAAAACTGGATATCAACAACAACAGCAAAAAAAAAAATTATGAACTTACAGAAATTGAATAGCTCACTACTGAATAAAAAATGGGCTAAGATAGAAATCAAGAAAGAAATGAAAGATTTTCTATAATTGAATGAAAATTAAACACACCATATCCAAACTTCAGGACACAAAGAAGGTATTATAAGAGGCAAGATCATAGTACTAAGTGCCTACATAAAATAACAACAAAAAGATGGAGAGGTCTCATATTAGTGACTTCACAACACTCCTCAGAGTTCTGAAACAAAAAGATGAAACTATACCCCAAAAGAGTAGAGGTCAGGAAATAACCAAACTCAGGGCTGATATCAAACGACAAAGCAAAACAAAACAACCCCACAAAAAAAAACCCCACAAACAAACAAAATCAATGAAACAGAGTTGGTACTTTTAGAAAATAAGATTGGCCAGTCCTTATCCAAACTAACTAAAGGGCATAGAAAAGATCTAAATTAACAAAATTAGAGACGAAATGAGGAACATAGTAACAGACACCACGATAATTCAGAGAATCATAAGGACATAACTTAAAAACCTGTACTCCAACAAATTGGAAAATCTTAAAGAAATGGATAATTTTCTCAATAGATATCACTTACCAATTTAACTTGAAATCAGATAAACAATTTAAAAAGACATATTCCTTAGTGAAATAAAAGCATTAATTAAAAGCCTCCAAAACAATAAAAACCTAATACCAGGTGATTTTAGTGTAGAATTCTACCAAACTTTAAAAAGAGCCAAGACCAATACTTCTCAAATTATTGCACAAAGCAGACACAGAAGAATCATTGCCCAACTTATTTTACAAAGCCACAGTTGCCCTGATACTTAAACCACATAAAGACCAAACAAAAATATTACAGATTAATTTATCTTGGGAACATAGATGAAAACATTCTCAATATAATATTTGCATCCTGAATTAAAATACATCAAAATTGCCATCTACTGTAATCAAATTGGCTTCATTCAGATATAGTTCATTATACATAAATCAATTAATGCAATCCACTGTATAAACAAACTAAAACACAAAAAACCACAAGATCATCTCATTAGATGTGGGGAAAAAAAACCTGTGACAAAATCCAACACCTCTTCATGACAAAAAGTTCTAGAAAAGTTAGAAACATAAGGGACATACATCAACATAATGAGGGTAGTTTACACCTATCCCATAGCTCACATAAAAATAATGGGGAGAAACTCAAAGAAATTCCACTAAAATCAGGAACAAGACAATGTTGTCCACTCTCTCCATACATTTTCAATGTATGGTACTTAAAGTTTTAGCTTCAGCAATAAGACAACCAAAGAAGATCACGGGTACACGAATTAGGAATAAGTCAAATATCTTTGCAATTTATTTGATAGTATACATAAGTGACCCGAAGAATTCCACCAGGAAACTCGTACAGCCAATAAACACTTTCAGCAGGGTAGCTGAAAACAAAATTAACTCACAAAAATCAATAGCCTTTCTATACACAAATGACAAATAGACTGAGAAAGAAGTCAATGAAACAACACCCTTCACAACAGCCTCAAATAATACAGACTATGTTGGAGTAACTCTAACCAAGCAAGTGAAAGATTTGTATGATAAAAATCTTGAAATCATTGAAGAAAGAAATTGAAGAAGTCTTCAGAAGATGGAAAGATCTCCCATGTTCATGGATTGGTAGGATTAACATAGCAAAAATGGTATCCTACCAGAAGCAATCTACAGATTCTGTACAATCCTATTAAAATATCTTCACAAATCTTAAAATGACAGTCTTCAGCTTTATATGGAAACACAAAACCCAGGACAGTGAAAACAAATCCTGAATAATTAAAGAACTGCTAGAGGTGTCACCATCCCCAACCTTGAATTGTACTACAGTGCTATAGTAATAAAAACTAAATGGTACTGACACAAAAACAGACACAGTTGATCAATGGGATTGAATTGAAAACCCAGATGGACCCAGGTGAAGACACCCATCTATGCTGATTTTTGATAAACTAGGACTATACAGTGGAAAAAAAAGACATCTTCAGTGAATGGTGCTGGGCAAACTACATGGCTGCATGTAGTTTCTTCTTCTTACTACTCTTACTTATTACTCAAGTTCAAGTGAATCAAAGATCTCAAAATAAAACCAGACACACCGAACCTGATAGAAAGTTGGGAATAGCCTTGAATGCATTGGCATAGGAGACAACTTCCTGAACAAAACATCAATAGTGCAGGCACTAAGATCAACAAATAATGAATAGAACTCATGAAACTGGAAAGGCATGTAAGGCAAAGGACAGGTCATTCAAATAAAGTGACAAGAATGGGAAAAGAATTTTACCAACTATATGTCTGATACTGGACTAATATCCAAAATATATAAAGAAGTTAAAAAACTGGGTAACAATAAAATAAATATCCCAATTAAAATATGGGGTACAAAAGGAAACTCAAATAGCTGAAAAACAGAGAAATGTTCAATATCCTTAGTCATTAGGGAAATTTGCAAATCAAAACTGCTTTCCTCTTACAACCATCAGAATGGCTAAGATCAATAAATCATACAGGCAAGGATGTTAAGTAAGAAGAACATTTATCCATTGCTGTTGGGAGTGCAAACTTGTACAGCCACTATGGAAATCAGTGTGTTCCTAAGGGAGGTGGGAATATACCATTCGTGGGTGTATTCCAAAAGGATTCATCCTACCACAGAGACACTTGCCCAACCATGTTTATTGGTGCTGTACTCAAAATAGCCAGAAGCTGGAAACAACCAAGAAATCCCTCAATTAAAAAATGGATAAAGAAAATGTGGTACATTTCACAATGGAGTATTACTCAGTCATTAAACAAGTGAAATTTGCAAGTAAGCAAATGGAATTAGGAAAAAAAATATTCCAAATGAAGTAACCCAGATTCAGAAAGACAAATATGGCATGTATTCACCTATATGGAATATTAGTTGTTAAGTCAGTAATAACCAAGTTACAGTCTGTAGAAACAGAGAGGTCAAGTGTAGAATAAGGAACTAGGTGGGGCAGATAGCTCTCAAAAAAAGGAGAATATGTTAGATAATTAAGGATGGATATGGGGGCAGGGCAGAGTGGAATGGGAGAATCAGGAAAGGAGAGAAGAGAAGTGGGTAGGGAAGGATTATGGGGCAAGACAGCTAAAATTGAGGACCAATTGAGGGGTAATACAGAAACCTAATACAGTCGAAACATCCTAAAGTATATACGTAAATGAAGGAGATGAAAACAAAATTGCCAAATAATCAAGGAGGCAGAGCCTCAATTGGCTATCCCTTGTCACCAAATGAAGTTTCCAGTACTGGAAATGGGTTGCATCTAATTGAATTGTTAGCCAGATGGGTCTCATAGGATTCCCCAAACACCCGGGCTGTTGCCAAGACTATAGGATGTTCTCCACAAAGAGATGGCAGGGCTCCTTTGCTGAAGACAACCATACACAGCTCATTGAACTTGGAGAAGTAGAGCTAGTGTGGTACGGGCTGGTACTCTGCATGCTACCAAAGGAGAAAAGTAAACATCAGCCCAGCTACAAACCCTCCCATCTACAATAATGCCCTTTCTTCAAGATATGCTGGTGTGATGGTGTCACAGAGCTTGTGGAAATAACCAACCAATGTGTTATTTGACTTAAGATCCACTCCGTGAGATGGCACGCCATACCTGACGCTGCTTGACTGAACAAGAACCCGAGACTAGATTGCCCAGACGCCTAGGGTAAAACCAATAGTGAAAGAATGCAACAGTTAAATGACTCCTCAAGACATTTTCCTATACTCATAGATCAGTACTTTGCTCAGCCATCATCAGATAAACTTCCTCTTGCAGCAGATGGGAACAAATACAAGACCCACAACTAGACATTACACACACACACACACACACACACACACACAAATCAATGGCAGCGTAAACCTGGGATTTGTGTGAATTGTGTTTAACCAGGGTGCTCTGTAGAAGTAAACAAGTGTGAAACTAGTGGGATTTTATGACACTCATGTTTACTTTGATTTCAGGAACCGTCTTTCTCTGTACAGTTTAAGAGAAGGGTCCTGGTTTACAAACTCCATTGTTTCTTGCGCAGCACTCTGAGCCAGTCTCTTTAAGTAAGTACTTCTGCAATGATGACTCTTTGTGGGCCAGGATGAACTTAAAAATTTTCAGAAGATAGAAAGAAGTAAGGTCAGGCACCTTGGAAATTTCTCCTTGGGAAGAGGTTATTTAAAAGGGGAAAAACTTCGGGTTCTTGTTCTGTACTCAAGGTCTTCTAGTGCCACCTGATGGACACTTCAGGAATTGCAAGCAGGTTTTACTTGTTAGTAAAACCAAGAGCCATAATAGAGCCAAGAGCCATAATAACCGTCTCGGGGGAGTTATGTTCTTTTCTCATAATGTAAGATGTAACACTCAAAATACAACCAAAACCCACGTTATATTTTCAGATGTTTTTGAGAATATTTCACAGGCCTACGTAGAAAATCAGAGCAATGCTGACTGACATTTTCTACAGTGAATTTCATTCTTTGGTGTGATTCAGTCTCTTGGTGTTTAGGTAAACTAGAGATAAAAGGTATACATGGATGTCTTCAAGTCTATTTTAATTTAAATTCCTAGTGTTTTATATTTTTCACTTGTGGAAAAGGCACTAGGAATTTAAATCTTAATTAACTCTAACATCTGGGCATTCAGAAGAGTGTCATCGAGGAAGGGTGCCCTGTGCATGGCCTGCCTACAGTCTGGCCTGGATCTGCTTCTGACACCTGGTTTGGGGCCTTTTGTTCAGTCTCTGTGATTCAGCTGCTACTTATCAGAAATGTATGTGAAGACGTGATTATCAGATCCTCTCCCACGTAATTTTGGTTCTATTGTGTCAATATGAACTTGTATCATCTGAGGTAAACTATGAAGGTCAGAATGTTTCTGTCTCATTAATCTCAGTATCTAGTATGGTATTCAGGCCTACAATAGATAACTGATAAATCTGTGTGTCTTGCCAAAGAGGCCTTGAGGAAAGGGACTGTTTTCAACTTCTGTACTTTTCTCCACGCTTGGCTCTACCACCTTTTGAAGTAGGCCTGGGAGAAGGCCAATGCTGAGTAGCTGTGATAGGGGGTTAACTGACTCATGGCTCAAAGCATGTGGACTTTCCCCCACCCCCGTACACACACGCAAACAAGGAGCCACCAACTCACCTAAGAGGACAAAGATGCAGGCCAGGATGGCGATGAGGGCACCCCGGCTCAAACTGACGGGGAGCATATAGGCCTCTGGGCTGCAGGACATGACGTGGCCGTCGTCATTGCAGCTGCACACTTGGATGGTGAGTGTGCCGGTACTGCTGAGTACTGGCTCTCCGCTGTCTGCTATGAGGATGGGCAGGTAGAAGACGCTCTGCTCCTGCTGCCGGAAGCCGGACCTCCTGGTTAGAATCCGAGCGGTATTATCTGAAGGAGTAAGGCATTAGGCAATTAAAAATGAGAAAAAGAGAAATGAGCGTGGAGTAGGAAGTGGAAGCCCCAACCATTGAGTTAGTTTCCTGGATTGAAGAAAGCAGGGAGGCAGGGCAAATGAAGAAGAAAAGTTAGGTGTATGCACCTGCAGCCATGGTGCGTTGGTTTCCCTCGGACCTAGATTAGGAAAGATTTTCACTTGCTTTCAGGCAAAACCCTGAGGCCTAGGAGCGAAGCCCTTTAGTGAGAGTTAGTTTTACCCTTCGTGACACAAAGTGCCCAGGGCCAACTGTCAGCCTTCAAATCTAACAAAAGTGTCCTGGAAAGCTTGACAGAAATGAACAGTCATTGATGATTGTGCTCCGTTTGTCCCCGCTCAGCATCTTGCCAAACCCTGTGCCGCTTTCTGCCTCTATGAAGGGAAGACTGAGGAGCCCACATAAGTGTGCAAGATTGCTTACTGTTGCTCTTCTGGCTGAAATTCGTGTATTTTGCTATTTTCTTTTATGCCTCTCAGTTGACGTCAACAACTTCCTGAGGAACCTGCTCTTTTTAACAGCACATTTGAGCCCCCATATGACACACCTTGTGACTTCTCCTGGCCTGTGGGTGAGTCTAGACAGTTGATCGGAATTTGGTGAGTTCTATTCTAATTTATGTTATGCGTATGAATGTTTTGCTTGTGTGCTTGTCTGTATTTCACCTGTGTACCTGGTACCTGCAGAGACCAGAAGAGGGTGTCGTATCCCCAAGAACCAGAGTTACAGATGCTTGTGAGCTGTCCTGTAGGTACTGGAAACTAAACCTGGGTCGCCTGGAAGTGCAGCAGGTGCGCTTAGTTGCTGAATCATCTTTTCAACTCTGGTGAAAATAATTAGTTACTTTTCTTCCCATTTAAAAGATAAGAATTTAGGATTTTTCTCTCTATTTAAAAAATAAGAATATTAGCTAAGAGAAAATCATATACCTTTATGAGGTACAGTGTGACATTTCAGTAGATTTTTTATTGTGTAATAATTAACTCAGGACATTTAGGCAACCCATCATCTTTTGTGTGCGGGGTATATGTATAAAATTGTGTGTACATGTATGTTCACATGTGTGAGGAGACTAAAGGTTCATGTGGGGTGCTTTCCTTGCTCTCCACTTTATGCTTTGAGACAGAGTCTCTCACTGAACGTGAACCTTCCCAGTTGGATAGGCTGGCCCAGTGAGCTCTGCAAGTCCACCTATTTCCCTCTACCCAGAGTGAGGCTTTCAGACTGGCACTGCCACACCTGGCTTTTCCAAGTGTGCTAGGCAGCTGAAGTCAGGTCTTCATGCATGTGCAAAAAGCAGTCTAATGACAAAACTGTCTCTCTTCTATCCGCCATCTTAAACATTTCTCCTCATTTCTTTGTAATTAGAATACTAGAAAATCATCTCCTGTAGCTTTGTGAACTTCACATTATCACTGACTAAATAGAAGCTATAACAGAATATAATCCTTCCTTAGCTGAATGGTTAGATATTTTTCTCATACTATATGTGGTAGGATGTATTGATGTTGATACTTATCAAGTACTATATAGTTTTAGATTTAAGAATTTTTGAGTTTATATTTTTAGGTCACCTGGAATGACTTTGAGTTATAAAGCAAATATATTGTTTTGCAATTTTGTGATCGTTTTATCAGAGGAATAGCTTGAGAGATGTGGTAAGATGCATAAGAAGTAACTAATGAAGCCAAAGCCAAGCTGGATATGGTGGCACATGTAATCCTGGACTGGGGCAGGGAGCCGAGGTCAGGAGGCCTACAGAACATTCTGAGCCAGCCAGTTCTATATAGTGAGGTCCTGCTTAACAAACAAACAAAAACCACATAACTTTCAAACCAAAACAATAAAAAGCTAATATCGTGAACAGAAAATTTTCTGGGTATGTTTCACATGGACTAGAATTTCACAAAATTTCTAAAAGCTTAAAGCAAACATGGTTACTTAGTAAGCATCAATATTTCTGCTTCTCCTTCCCTTCTTATTTTGTTGTTGTTTTTGTTTATTCTTTTTAGGATTTTTGTTTTGTTTTGTTTTTAGATAGTGTTTCTCTGTGTAGTTTTGGCTGTCCTGGAACTTGAACTCACAGAGATCTGCCTGCTTCTGTCTCCTGAATGCTTGGATTTCAAGACATGTACCACCACCACCTGACCTCTCTTTCTCTTCTTGAATGTAACAAAGAACTCTTCTTTCCTATTCTTTTAAGTTGGGCATAGCAAAATAATTACTTTAATTGACAAAGATGAACAAGTTGGAGCTGGTGTCTGACTTTCCCTGTTCTCTTGCCTTGAAGCCTTATTTGAAAGAACACAAGATTCATGCAGCCTGGGACACAGCTGGATGAGGTGGACAGCCTTCAGGTGCAACTCAGACCTTTCTAATACAGTATTCTTTCATTTATATTTACTTTTTTCTTGTCTATTTGTTTCACTTTGTTTTTTTTTGAATGATACCAACTAGATTTTGATTTTGTTTTTCAGTTTTGTTTGTTTGTTGGTTCTTTTTTGTTTGTACTCAAGTACCAGTTGTTGTATTTAGTTCATGTAGTATCTCATTTAATCTTTGTGACAATTTGTTGTATTACTGAATGATTCTACCCCTTTCCAATGAAAGAATTAAAGCCTAGTTTAATTACATTTCCTTTTCGTCACTAACCTAGGCAGCAGCAAAGCTGGCACTTGAACTCTGGTACTCAGACTCCTTCCATGGTGTCATTTTTGCTCAGGTGGTTTCCTAGCACTAATGGTGTGTTAGCTGGTTCCCTGTCTGCTGGACACAAGCTAGGGTCATTTTGGAAGAGGAAACTTCAGTTGAGAAAAGTTCTCCCACCAGATTGACCTGTGGTGCATTTTCTTGATGATAATTGATGTGAGAGGGCCCAACTCACTGTAGGTGGTGCCACCCCCAGTTGCTGGCTCTGGGTGCTATAAGAAAGCAGGCTCAGGAAGCCATGAAGAGCAAGCCAGTAAGTAGTGTTCCTTCGTGCCTCTTCAGTTCAGGTTTCTAGGCTCTTGTCTTGAGTTCCTACCCCAATTTCCCTCAGTGATGGAGCAACCTAGTAGTTGTAGATGAAATAAAGTCTTTCTTACCAAGATGTTTTGGATTATAGTGTTTTACCACAGCAGTAGAAACCCTAAGACAATGCTCAAAACTTGTTCAGATAATTTTTTCCTGCTTTACCTTCATCTTACTGTCTTCTCAGTATGAAATGACAGCAATCCAGTTAGTAGTGGGAGCATTGTACTCATCTGTCCACTCACCACACAGTCCATCCTCTGCTTCTCCGCTTGGCTTAATAACAAACTACCGTTCATTACCCTTTGGAATTTTAACTGTTTTCAAAATTAAAATTTTCTCCAAACAAAGCTTGCATTTATTTTTTAGGTTACTTTAGTTTAGCCTAGATCATAAGAATCTTCTTAAGAAAGACTGACATAAAGCTGAAACAACAAGAACAATACAACAGAAGCTCACCCAGAACTTTCTGTCACATGACTGGGACTGGCATATGTTAGCCATTTTGAATGTTTTTGTTGAAAGTGATAATCGGGACTTTAGTAACTTTTTTGGAAAGACTATTTGTTTCTAAGGTGACAGAAAGCTCGTGTGTGTGTGTGTGTGTCCATGTACATGTGCCAAAATGAAATTATAGCAACAATTCCTAGTACCGGTATGTCTTTCATGAAGTGTTGGGACTGAATGTGAGAAATGTGCTCTACCACTAAGCTACATCCCATTCCTTTCCCCACTCTTCCTGCTTGCTCTCTGACCTAGTGTCATTTGCATCTGTTTAATGGTACTATCAGCATCGCATTTTACATGTCATTATAAATGCAAAATGAAACAAAAATGAGAAAATTATTTCAAAACTTTAAAGTATTCTATACATATAATCCTTTTCATGTTTTGAGACAAAAAAAAAGACTGGTCAAGAAGGTATGCCCTTGTAACCCTAGCACTTGGGAGGCAGAGACAGTAGAACTATGGAGGCCTGTAAGGGTCTGTATAACAGCTTCTAAGTTAGTGAGGTTACAGAGTGAGACTTGTTTCTTAAATCCGAGCCTAAATAAAAAGACAAAGAAGAGAAAGTGTGGGGATATTACTTAGTGGTAGAGAGCTTGTCTAGCATGTCAAGGCCTTTGATTTGTTCCATTGTCCTTCCCAACCCTTGCTAAAAGGCCTTACTTCTATTTGTAAAAATACTTACATTTATTTAAGTATTTATTAAGTAATATTTAATGTATAGTATTTTATATATGATATATATAAACATAAAATAATACATAAAATATAATAATGTATAAAAATGTTATAAGAATATAGTCATATAAGTAATACTATTTAAATATATAAAGTATTTATTAAGTAATATTTAAAAAGTATTTACTATTCATTATAAAAAGTGGATGATGGGCACACGGTATTGGAAGTCGGTCTGTTTTTAATAAATCTTTGGAAAAGAAGCCTGTGGATAAATTGTCATCTGGAGATTAGGCTCACACTCTCTGTTGCAGACGCACTGGCTTCTATTGTGGGAAACCTTTCAAGAGATGACTCATCTTCTTTCGTTTCGATCCTGTTCCGGCCCCACCTTTATATGACTTGCCTCCATGGAGAGGTGCCTAAGGTCACCTTTAAGAAACTTGCAACTTATTTGCTGTATATTGTTTTTGTGGTAGTTCTGCAAGTATGCATGAAAAGAGTGACATCTAGCTAAAAATTTGAAGAAAAAACTTAACGCCCAGCACTTCTCACCGTAGGATTTCTTCAAAAAAGCCAACCCCTAGAAGGATGAAGCTTTTACATAGAGAGGGTTTCCATGTGAAACAGGTAAGGAAATAATTCAAAAGTTTGACTCAATAAGATTCTTGGGGTAGAGATATGGGGATGGGAGATAAATAAATGCTGGGTAAACTGCTACATAAAGTGAATACTAGATAGAGTTCATGCACCCACATAAATGCCAGAAAGGAATGGTAACCCAGTTTTAATCTCAGTGCTACGGAGGTACACGCAGGAACCCTGGAGCAGGCAGATCAGCTCGATTAGTTGAATCGCAACTCTGGGTTCAAATGAGAGGTCCTGTCTCCGTATATTATGGAGAGAATAATCAAACAAGAGACTTGTGGGGCCTGAAAAGTTGGCTCAAGGTAAGAGCTCTTGCAGAAGACTTGAGTTTTGCTCCCAGCACCCGCTCCAGCTCCAAAGGATCCCATGCCTTTGTACTTCTACTCACATGTGCACACACATTATTAAGCATCAAAATCAAAAGGAAGATACCTGATGTCTGCCCGCACATGTGAACATAGCGCATACCACACATAAACATACCAAAATCTCAGGGTATTTAACTGTAAGTATTCCTTCCATAGACATTTTATGGTAATTAAAAGGCTGAAAAATACTTGTATTTATGAGGTTATAGCAGTAATTAAGATCTTTAACATGGTGTTTGAGAAGAAGACAAGGCATGCCTGATCTTGACATTTAGATTGTTATGAAGTCACTCTTAAGATGAGGGTGTTGATGAGGACCCTAAGAGAGACATACATGGATCTAATCTACATGGATAGTAGAAAAAGACAAGATCTCCTGAGTAAATTGCGAGCATGGGGACCATAAGGAGAGGGTTAAAGAGGAGGGGAGAGGAAGGGAAGGGAGCAGAGAAAAATGTAGAGCTCAATAAAATCAATATAAAAAAAGATGAGGCTGTTGAAGCCCAGAGAAGTGAGGACACCCAAGTCAGTTAGTTGGCAGCAGAATTAACAAAGGGATCTGTCAAGTAG